TTCCTGGTTCCAGGTCATCATTCTCAGCTCCTTGTTTCCAAGTCGTCTTCCTCAACTTCCTGGTTCCAGGTCGTCATGCTCAACTTCTTGGTCCCAAGTCATCATCCTCAGCTTCTTGGTTTTCCAGGTCATCTCATTCCTCAACTTCCTAGTTTTCTAGGTTGTCACTTTTTAGTTTCTTGGTTCCAGGTCGTCATGCTCAACTTCCTAGCCCCAATTCATCATCCTCAGCTTCTTGGTTTTCCAAGTCGTGACTCCTCATTTTCTTGGTTCCAAGTCGTCATGCTCAACTTCATGGTCCCAATTCATCATCCTCAGCTTCGTGGTTTTCCAGGTCGCGACTCCTCAGTTTCTTGGTTCCAGGTTGTCATGCTCAACTTCCTAGTCCCAAGTCAACATCCTCAACTTCCTGGTTTTCCAAGTCATGACTCCTCAGTTTCTTGGTTCCAGGTCGTCATGCTCAACTTCTTAGTCCCAAGTCATCATCCCCAGCTTCTCGATTTTCCAAGTCATCACTCCTCAGTTTCTTGGTTCCAAGTCATCATGCTCAACTTCCTAGTCCCAACTCATCATCCTCCACTTCCTGGTTTTCCAGGTCGTCACTCTTCAGTCTCTTGGTTCCAGGTCGTCATGCTCAACTTCCTGGTCCCAAGTCAACATCCTCAGCTTCTTGGTTTTCCAGGTTGCCACTCAGTTTCTTGGTTCCAAGTCATCATGCTTAACTTCTTGGTCCCAAGTCATCATCCCCAGCTTCCTAGTTTTCCAGGTCGTCACTCCTCAGCTTCTTGGTTCCAAGTTGTCATTCCTCAACTTCTTGGTTTTCCAGGTTGTCACTTTGAGCTCCATGGTTCTAGGTCGTCACTCTGAGCTCCCTAGTTCCAGGTCGTCGCTCTCAGCTTTCTAGTTCTAAGTCGTTGCTCTCAGCTTCATGAGCTTCCTGGTTCCAAGTCGTCACTCTCAGCTTTCTTAGTTTCCCGGTTCCAAGTTGTCACTCTCAGCTTCTTGGTTCCAGGTCATCAATTTGAGCTCCCTAGTTTTAGGTTGTCACTCTCAGCTTACAGGTTAGAAATCTCAAATCAAGGTTTCCAAGCCAGATTCCTCAAGAATAAATTAGACCCTTCTACAACCTATAAAAGCAAGAAGGTAAACCCTTGTGATTTTTCAGCAAGCTTACAAATCATTGGAGGGGGAGTAATGTTGGGATAGTAATCTAACTAGCCCATAAATGAAATAAAAGCCCATAAACGAAATAAAGGCCCATAAGGCCCAAATACAAAGGAGCACATCCATGAGTCATAATGGAGCTCATATGGATCCAAAGGACCAATAGAATTACAACACGCATAAAACACTTCCAAGAGATTTATAAATAGTCTCATACCCCTCAAAGGTAAAGGACCTTTCGGAGAGCTCTGTTCTCTCTATTATATTTTTCTCTTTATTATATATTTCTCTCTCTAAAAAGAACCCAAGTATAAGAATATTGCTAACTTGGGTGTCGGAGTATCTACCCCGAGGGACAACCCTTAGGTTTGTTTTGCAGGTCCCAATGCTGATCAACTTGTGGTCAACTAGATCTCGTGAAGCTGCCAAATAGTTGCCGAAACAGTTTGATGATGATTTATCAAGTGCTTAAGGATGGTGTTCTAGATCTAGAAACAACAGTGGTGTCTATATTCCAACAGTGATTTATCTTGATTATATTAGTGTTGTTTCAGATCCATAACATCACGATTGCATTCCACCAGGCACTTGTTTTACATTTATTCATTATCAGGAAAAAGGTTAAATGCTCAAAGTTCAGCGAATCTGCCATTTAACAAAAGAAAAAAAAAGGCTAATCAACAGAGAGCTACCTTATTTACAGAACCGTCGTCTTCCTATAGGGTTTTTTTTAGAAATTTTACAGTAACTGACACTAATTCAATTTAATGCTTTGTGTAACAATGATCTGCTTCCTCTACAATCTATAATTTATGATTAGGTATGATCTTAGCAAACTCAAGTGTATCTTCAACTGGGATTTACTTGGCCAGCAATTCCATGGATTGTCAAGACCACTAGAAATACATAGTATGTTGGCAACCACTAACTGATTAGCATCAACTAAGCATACTAACAATCTAATATATATACCAAAAAAATGAAAGTAAATAGCTAATTACCAAGACTTTATCTGTAGATAAAAATGGGTAGTCAATCAATTTTCAAGAAATGATAAGTATTTTATAGTTTATATAATTTCAAATGAAACATTTCCTTTACCAGAAAAAGAGAAACCTTCTGGAAAAAGCCTAATCCCAATATGTGTTAAGATAAAATGCCATAACAAAACCCATTTCGACAATTCTACGGACAAATAATATGCATGGTTTAAAAATGGTTAAATACTTAATTTGGTCCTTAAACTTTCACTTTCAAACCAAGTTCATCCCTGAACTTTATAAATTACCAAAATCATCCTTAAACTTCAATTTTTCATTACCGACTCGATCCTTCCGTCAACAGTATTGCAAGATGTCACGTTAACTTGCCACGAATTTTAACTTTTTAAATTTAGATGATGACATGTAAAGAGAATAAGCATGTATTGCTGACTTGGACATTATATTAATATCCATATTGGCACATTTTGATCTAAATGGATCTGTTTCTCTTAAATTAAATTAAATCACTTTGATGATGTCTAAAAATATTAAATGAGTTTGATTATTATATATTTAATACTAATTAAGATGGAATTAACTCATAATTAAAACTTTTTTTTTTTTTTTTGGAATTAAATTAAATCATTTTGATGATGTCTAAAAATATTAAATGACTTTGATTATTATATATTTAATACTAATTAAGCTGAAATAAACTCATAATT